TTTGAAAAAGTGGCATTTTTGTAAAAATTTCAAAAATGTGGCGTTTTTGTAAAATGGCACTTGAAAAGTGGCATTTTTTGAAATTTCTCAAAAATGAATACATAAGAAAATAAATAATTTTCCATAGTTGAAACATATAAGAACACATGAGACAAATGTAAAAAAGAAAAAAAAAAAGATGATAAGTAATCATACTACATAGATTGAACAATAATTAATTATTTAATTATAATCTTTTAACTGATTATTTAGATAATATAATTTATCCAATTGTCAAATCTATCTACCTAACAAAGTGCATAATCGTTGAAAATCATTTCATATTTTCATGTTCATGTCGTATAGATAATGGAAACAACTAATTTCATTTCAAGTCAATTATTGTGTTTGTATTTACTTGTTGATTTTGTCACACATAAATAATAAGTTCTTTGATAAATCGAAAAAATAGGGATATTTACAAAAATGTCACTTTTGTGTCCAAATTTGCAAAAATGTCACTTTTGATGTTCATTTGAAAAAAATGCCACTAATTATGACTTTTTAGAGCCTAAATCTTAAAATTCTAAACCCTAAAAAATCTTTTGACTCCTAAAACCCCTTAAACCCTCAAAACTAAACTCTAATACAACATAGTTAACCCAAACATAAATGATATAATAAATAAATAATTTTGGAAAAATGATATTTTTGCAAAGATTGTAAAAATGTGGCATTTTTATAAAGTGGCATTTTTTGAAATTTCTCAAAATATTTCTCTAAATCTAATAAAATTTTAAAACAAAAACTTGCGTATTCTAGTAACTAATAAAATAACCAACTAGGTTCCATCTCAATTGCATCCTAAACTTTTGCTAATAATCATTTAAGACTGAATCTTGCCAATATCCAAAATTTTCATTCCCATAGTCGATAATTTGATTGTATACGGGTCAAACTCAAAATAGAGATGGAGACATTGGAAGAAATTCATAAAAATGAAACGAAATTCAAAACTGTATTGCGGTCACTTATCCCCTCAACGCGACAAAGTATGACCCCAACTCTCACCAAACACTCCACTAAAAAAGAGAAAAGAAAACAATAATGCAGAATGAACATTAAAAGTTGCCTGCTCTACAAAATCCTACTCACTCCCACCAATTTTCTTTAGTGGCAAAGATGAATAATCCGTTGCTTTTGGGTATTCTCTTGTGCTTGGGGACATGTCTTGACGCATTACCAGACCCAAGTAGCAATGGAACTGAAGAGATGTTGATTTTCTTAGATCAAAGGCTTGCAGTTGCGTACCCAGTCATCCAGAGATTCAAGTTACTCATCACCCTCGACCCTTTCAAGATAACTCAGACATGGATCGGTTCAGATATCTGCAGTTACAGAGGCTTCTACTGTGACAATCCTCCCGACAACAAAACCGCACTCACTGTCGCTTCCATCGACTTCAATGGCTTCCAGCTCTCTGCCCCCTCCATCGAAGGATTCGTCGACCAACTACCTGACTTAGCTCTGTTCCATGTAAACTCCAACAACTTTGGAGGTACCGTCCCGACAAATATCGTCAATCTCAAGTACCTCTACGAACTTGACATCAGCAACAACAGATTCACTGGTCAGTTTCCAACTGCCGTACTTGACATGCCCGGTTTGACATATCTTGACATCCGTTTCAACTCCTTCTCCGGCTCAATCCCGCCACAGATCTTCAGCAAGAGCCTCGATGTTCTCTTCGTTAACGACAATGGCTTCACCGCGAGCCTCCCAGATATACCCGAGGACGATGGTGGAGCACACATTCTTTACTTAACCCTAGCAAACAACAAGCTCAAGGGTCCTCTCCCGAGTAGTGTTCTAAGATCAATGTCATCGTTAAGCGAAGTAGTCTTCTTGAACAATGATTTCACGGGTTGTATCCCTTATGAGATCGGGTTCCTCAAGGGAGCATCAGTGATCGATATTGGTGGAAACAAGCTCACGGGTCCTTTGCCTTTTTCGCTTACATGTCTAGAGAAAGTAGAGCAACTCAACTTTGCTGGAAATCTCTTGTTCGGGGTCATCCCAGAGCCAGTGTGCATGCTGCTCCGAGACAATCTTGTCAACTTATCTTTGTCTGATAACTATTTCACGCACTTGGGTCCTTGGTGTAGAGGTTTGGTTGAGACAGGTGTTCTTGACGTTAGGAACAATTGCCTTCCTTTCTTCTTCCCCGGTCAAAGATCGATGAAAGAATGTGCGGAGTTCTTTCTAAAACGTCCTAAGTACTACTGTCCTCACAGGTGGTTCAATAGTTTTATCCCTTGTAGATATTCTCTCACATCTTCGCGTGATGAAATGCCTATGGTGGCTCCCTCACCTTAATGTTCATTATCATCATCATCACCGTATTTAATAACTATCATTGTAATGGGAAAACAAATCAAATGATGATTTGACCAACGTGATTATGGTAGCAGAAGGGCAATACTGATGATTATGTTTTTAAGAGGAGCATAAAATTACTTGGTATAATATTTTTGTTATCTAGTGTGTTTTCCATTGTCCAATAAGTTAATTAGTAGCCACCATCCATGTGTTCATCATATAGTTCGGATAGATATTAGAAAGACTGTGTTCTAAAAGTAAAATGTACTCATAACGGCTTGGTTAGTACAATTATACATTAGTATTGCAAGCTGATTTTTTGTTTCTTCAAATAATATATATAATTTGTATTTTACTGGCTTTTTCAATTTTGTTCATTTATAAAATATTTTTTTTTGATAATATTTTGTCTGTTAACTGTTTTATTCAAATAGTTAAGGAAAGAGATCTAGTCTTTGTCTCCTCTTATTCTCTTCCCTTAATGTTTCTATTTTCGTTTTTATCGCTATTATCTTAGTGTTCTATTTTTGGTTTCTACAATCATTTGGGTTAGTAACAAAGAATATGTCCACAGTTTGTTAAATATGCTCGGTAAAAATTTGGGGTACGATATAATTGTAAGATCTTAATGTTGAGTGTTGTCGTGAGGACATCCACTTCGGGACAATCGTAAATCTTGTGGGGTGGGGCACCATTCCACCTTGTCTATTGCGTTTGATGGGTTAAATGTACCAAAAAGATAATATTGACATCGACTCCATTCCCACCAAATACTGGACATTGATTATCGACTATTCTTTTTAATATTGCTAAAAAGGATTATTACAAAAAGGAAAAAATGGATTTTAGTCCAATCATATATACACTACATCCGACTATTAAAAGGCATCACGT